AACAGATTGACTAAGTTAGCCCAGGCTAACGCTCCCCTTTTGCTACAATCAGTTTGGCTATGGGGAGGTTCAGTTTCAAAATATTAATTTTGCTTAACGCCCCGTAAAATCCACATCAGGACCTTGGCCTTTCTTATAATTAGTAGAGAGGATTTGCCTAAATTAGCGATCGCAGCACCAGACGGCTCTCACGTTTGACGGTGCTGCTGGCGCCGAACTATTTTACTTCTAATGTAAAAGAAATGGCTTTGCTGCCATCTTTCGGAAACCATTATATTTTTCTATAAGTTTTTATAGCCGCCTCTTACGAAAGCCACAGGACGAAATGGAGTGAAGAATTATTATTTACGCTGTCATTACACGACAAAATGCAAATCTTATTGTATTTAAAGACTTTAGCGCCATCTATCGGAGGCCAAAGGATTTGAGAGATAAGACAAAATTAGGCCACTCAACTCAAAATAAGTCACGAACATCTCAACCAGCATAATAAATAAAAATCAAGCTGGTCAAGATGTTGATAACTGTGTCTCCTTTTGTTTCAATTGTATGAAAACCAAAAATATTTTTTCTACTTTTAATTACACCAGCAGGGCTAGCAAGGGCAGGAGAAAATTTTACCCCCAGGGAAAGGAGAAAATGACAAAATAATATATAATAAACAAAGTTTATCCCCTCGCTTATTTTTATCCACTCTTCGAGCATGGGCACACCGGTGGATATAGGTAATATCCACAGTAGATAAAATGGGAGATAGATAGATTTTTGGTATGAATATAAACTTAAACCCACGTCCAATGAACTAGGATAAAATTGTCTCTTTCAAATGTAAAAAAGCATAATTTTTTATCTTTCATTTGGCTCCATGCAAAGGTTGGAGAATATAATATGTCTACTTGTTGTGCTGATGTAGTTCGTAAACGTTCAATTGACCGCCGATAGATGGCACTTATTTAACTTTCGCTAAAACAGATTTAAATTGACTAAACTCCTGGTGCTATTGCCTTCACCATTACACGCAATGCTGTCCTTCTTAGTGGTTACAATACAGTTCAGGTGATAGTAAGCCCACAGTCACCTGTAGGCGTGCAACCAAATAAAAAAAAAACTATAGCAGACGCGCTGTCACTGGAACTGTGGAACAAGATGATGTACCTATCACAATCTGTCATTATACTTCTTGCTGACACTGGAACATAGCAACGAACACACTACTGCTGTCCAGCAGAAATCCAGATGGACTAAACATAAAAGGAGTAAGGAGCCCTACTGTAAATTAAAGAAAAGTAAATACTTTAAATATGTTGGGTGTCTGCTGTGTTTCGTATGGTGAGTGTAGAGAACCAGAGACCTTTGTTATTATTATTAAATCAATCATCTTCTTTAAAAAAAAGAGAAGAAATAAAAAAATAAAAAGACATCTACAATACAAGAGAAATTGGGAGATGACTTCAAAAAATAACATTATATCTTACATGGGCCCTTAACACGTAGTAGAGCCATGCCGCAGCCATATTGTGGTTAGAGCACGAATGGGTCGACTAGACTGGGAAAAGATCACGCTCTCACAGAATACCAGCGTATAATAACAGCTTAAAGTTGCTGTGTTGCGTATGGTGAGTGTACTGGAGACCTTTTTTACCAGAAACAAGGTATTCCATCTTAACATTTAGGAGTGACAACGCATCTGCATTTTGATTATTAACCGATGATAGATTTAGATGTCTATGGGCCGTAACATCTACTTACCATCATCATGGTTAGCATGGGCAGTAGACAATTTTGTCCCGGGGGAAAGGAGAAAATGTTTATCCCCTCGCTTATTTTTATCCACTCTTCGAGCATGGGCACACCGGTGGATATAATACCTATAGTCGATAAAATGGGAGATAGACTTAGTGTTAGATAGATTTTTTGTATGAATATAAACTTCAACCCACGTCCAATGAACTAGGATAAAATTGTACCTTTCAAAATCCAAAAATAAAGCATAATTTTTTATCTTTCATTTGGCTCCATGCTACGGACGGGGGATATGTCTACTCGTTACGTCAAACGGGGATATACTAGTCCCCATTGGCGTGCTTTGGCAAAAGGACAAGATAATTTTATCTGTTTCCAGTGGAAATAATCAAGGGTTAAATTTTTTGTCAAAAACAGCTGAGAAAATGTATTAAACTTAGCTATTTTTTAAAACATATAAATACCAAATTTATCGACTTATGATATCAATTCTCCCACTATTAAACGAGTAGTAGGTATGTAAATAACTTTGTACAATTAACGACTAACCACAAGCTTTTTCCTTGCAAGCGCATGGAAAATTTGTTTTCAAAAACGCAAAACGCTAAATATAAATAAAAAAAAACTATTTCCAATGTTTCTCCACGTTACCCTTAACCACCTGTGTGGCACGGCACATATTTAATCTGCACCTAAAATTGCAACCTAACAAACTTATTGGCGCTGGCGGGGATTGAACCCTCGGTGCTCGTCTAGTCTGTGATATAGTTTATGGCGTCTGATGATTGTACATTTTGGTTACACGCGACCTTCGTCACGAACGTCGAAGTCGATCAGTCGCACTCACCATCTTTGAGAGGCTAGATGCCGTCGCTTATCAATGGAAACTCATGCTGTGGTTATTTTAGGCCAAAACATGTGCTGAAGTAGGCGAGCATTTTGTGGTACAGGGTTATTTTTCAATATAAGTTTCAAAATAAGTAGTATAGGCGAATGGTGAAGAAAAATTAACAATAAAAACATGCGTGAGTGTCGTAGAACACTCGGTTGGAACAGTTACTTTCATAGTCGTTATTAATGATAAACGTATTACTTATTGATTAACAAATACAAATAAATGAATTACTTTTACTAACGTCTATTAAAATGAAGCGTCATTTAAAATAATATTTATTTCATGAAAATATAAGAAAAAGTTCTATGGAGATGGATATTATTCCATCTCGCTTCCTTATAGCCGGCAAGGCCGTTTACACTACGTCAGAAGGGGTCGTGACTCGTGACGGAAAAATCTTACACTTTTTCTCGCCTAGCCCCCACTCGCCAAATTCGTACCGTCCGATAAGGAACTACGTTCCAAAAAGTCTCAAACATTCTGTCCTTCTTTTCTTTTATATTCAGAATGCGTGTTAAATCATTATTTAAACTGATTGTAATTCATAAATATCTAAAGCCTACTAATTTACTACGCAAGCCCACATTCATAGGGGTCGCTCGGTCGGTAAAAAAGTTGTGAATTGATAATTCTGACTTTAAACTAGTATTTTTAAAACTTCAACAACGGTATATCATTACTTATATTATATTTCAACTTAAATATAAAATTTGGATACTCTTTGAAAAATAACCCTGTATAACCTCGGCTAGTGATACATAGTCGGTACGGTCGGTTAAAATTTGAACGTTATCAGTGATAGTAAATATCAGGAGATTGCTCGTTGGCAGAGAATTTGTAGTCAGTCAATTTAATTACTATAACTGTACAGATTATTGGGAAAAGGATCGGAGATAATAAGTCTCGTCGCAGTGTTAGGTAGAAATGATTGAAAATTATATAGATTTCTATTTATTTGGCAGTTTACAATTCCTTTACATGTGTCTTCAATACAAATAGATCATAATTTATTTATTTTTATATATAAACAGGTAGTGGGAACAGGAAACGGAACTGAGGAGCGGAACTTGAATCTATAATAACAAGTCAATAACATACGAACAATAAGCCAAAAATGTTTAATGTCATATCGATAAATTTACATTGCGTTTATCGTAACACCAAAAACTGGACACCCACGACACGTGTCGGCGCGACGCGCCTTCCTGAACGAGTAAAAATCACCTAAAAAAATCCTCGCTAAAATTAATTATTACATACATACAAGATACGTTCGGATAGATTGTTCGGTACGGTGTGAGCGGCGGCAAAGATGCCGACGGCCACCGCGCACACCGGTCGTACGTCATTACTTTACTGTCGATCTAAATACAGTCTCTCACATCCGCGTGTCGCTCACGCAACGTAACATCCAAAAGCCAGTCGCCTAACCGCGTGGTCATGCCGCATCAGCTATGTCGCATGCGAGTTTTACACACCGCTGTAATGCGAGTGCGCACGAAATAGACCCCTCCATTTTGCACAAACTTCAATCCGACCCGATACGCGTCACGCGCGATTATTAAACATGTATCACCTACTTTACATAAGCCCGTACACTTATCGGTTCGGAATCGTGATATGTTCGATACGAAGCGTTCGCAAAATTAAACTTTATTATTAGGCATCGTCATTTGATATGTATCTCTACGTCGCTATACAGGCTCGATATAATCTATTATTATAATTATCTAAATAGTGATATCTGAGGAGTATCGCATGCGAGTCGCTGTAGCCGATGCGGAGGACGATCACTGGTTGCGATGGAATGACACAACGCGTTTCGTTCTTCAGTTGACACGAATCAAGAAAATGTTATAGAAAAATTGATTAAACTATATTATTGACAGCGTAATGTATTGCATGCCCCAAGAAACAATTTGCGTCACATTACACTACGCGAAACCGATTGCGTTTTAAACATAATTCTTCTTTTATGAGTCACTGTAATACAGAAACTAGTTGGATCAAAATTAGAAAATATTTTGACTCTTTACATTACAATACACAGAAACTAATCTGGTCATAAGTTGCAAATATTTTGACGCTGTACATTGCAATACACAAAAACCAATCGGGTCATAATATTTACTACATAACCGTCGCAATACAGAAACACATTGGGTCACGCCCAGAAACGCATCATGTCACGTCGCGTCACGTCGCACAGAGATCCGAAACTCGAAACTCGCGCGATGGGACTGGGTGGTCGCGCGTCGTTCGCGACACGGGGGGGAAGTAGTGGGGGCCGGTACGGCGCCCCCGCCCTGCGGGCCCGACCGGGCCGCCTAGACGAACCACTCGTCCTTGTGCGGGGCGGCGCTCAGCGCTGCGCCCGCGCCCGCAGGCGGCCCGGGCGCGCCGCGTTGTACCCGCGCGGGCCCGCAGGGAGCGCCCAGTTTCCCGGCAGCCGCGTGCCGCCCGCCGCCGGCGACTCACCGCCCGCCGGCTTGCTGACAGTTCCGGCGCCGTTACTGCACGCCATTTGCTGCACTGCAATCACACCGCGTTCACAACTTCAACGTCCGTACGATAATGGCAATAACATGAACATAACATAACTTAAACACTCACGCCTGTCACCCAGAGGGGTAGGCAGAGACTACGGACTTCCATTTGACACGATCCTGGCACGCCTCTCTCGCCTCCTCCACATCCATATACCTACGCATACATGCTCGTCGGTTAAGGGTACTCTTAATTTGGCCCATTTTTCAATAACAATAGTAACCATTTTTTTAATTCATAGAATAAGGGTGACACACAGTGAGCACACAGCCCAACTGTTGGTAAGTGGATGGTATGGCCCATAGACATGTACATCTATCCTCGATTAAGTATCAAAATGCAGATGCGTTTTCACCCCTGAGTACTAAGATGGAATGTCTCGTATCCAGTAAAAAGGGTTTCTGGTTCTCTACACTCACCATACAAAACACAGCAGCATTAAGCTGCTATTTTACGCTGATATTCTGTGAAAGCGTGGTCTCAGCCGAACCATTCGTGTTACAACTCTAAAATTAGGTATAGTTTGAATGAACGCTGCAAAAATTGTGGTGCCCTTTTTTTCAGATTCAGATTCTTTATTTGCCACAATGTAGGTACAGGTATAAGATGGTACATTACTAAGTGTTTCCGCTACATTCTACCTTACGGCATGCAAAGTCATAAAAACTAAAAGATACAATTCTGATAGCAAATTAACCAGTATAGTCCTTCTTATAAAATATCTTATAGATTGCAGTACGAGTACACTATAATCGCATCGCGTTGCCAACCTCAGCGTTCCACTGACACATCTTTTACCGTTACCGTTCCAGCCTATTAAAGTCCACTGTTGAACATAGGCCTCCCTAATAGATTGCCTCATAGGAGGTATTCTCGATAGTTACCAAGCTTGGCAAGCGGTTTGGTAATAGCTGTTTTCTATGTTTATAAGACGCTATTACCAATCTCGTGTTTTGTTTCCCTCTGTCGCCTTTTACGACACCCACGACGATATGGGGAAGTGGACACTCTTACACCGCACGGTTAAAGTTAAAAGTTAAAGTTACAGCCTATATACGTCCCACTGTTGGAAACAGCCTTCTATCATTTCTGAGAGGGTTTCAGAGTAGGGAGGTGTCCGACGCGCTGCCCCAGAGCGTGTTGAACTCCACATGTCTTCGAAATATTTTTTTCTTATTTCTCATACACGCACGTTTCGTCACGATGTTTTCCTTCACCGCCGAGCACGTGGTAAAACCGCCACCACACGGTAATCATGTAAGTAATGCAGCTGTTACATTCCATTATTTTTAGTTTAAAATTTGTTTCAAGTTAACATCTGGACTCTGAACTGAACTTAACAAAATTTTATGGGGAATTTATTATATTAATATGTGTAAATGTGTCTTGCAAGTCACCACTTTTAGCGATTTTTTTGACGATCGGATTACCAACATCCTTAAACTTTAACGGATCACTCCATCGGCATCTACTTTACGCTAACTAAGAGGGTTATAACGCCATCAGTCGGAGAAATTTTCCATAGTTAACGAGACGAAGTGGTGGGGCAGATTCTCGCCACCACCATAAAGGTGCATTTTTATCCTACACGATATTGAGTTAGAGGAACTGGTTCCTGAAAAACAGTTATACTAGCTCAGACGCCAGGGAATCAATGAATTTATATAAAAAAGATTGTGTTAAAAATAAATAAAGAAAGAAATAAATAAAATATCTCAAATTTATTACAATGTAGGTGTGTGCGTCTGGAAGGCGCACGCCGACGGCAGTAGTAGCAGACGGCAAGCGCAGTGGCAATCACCGCCAGCGCCCCACCACTAGCAGCTCCTGCCATCCACAGTCCACCAGCACCACCGCCGCCGTTCTCTGCACACAACAAATAAATTTTATAAGTTCTTTCGCAAATTTTAATTTTTGGCCGTTGTAAGGAAAAAGGGAAATCTACCGCCGGGCAAGGCGTTCAGCCCGGGAAGCGTTCAACGCTTCCGGTGGTAGTTCGGTAGGCGTATTACGTATCTTGCAGAAGGCTAGCGATAGCGAAATTGAAACAATAATTGCTGATAAATCGCAGATACGTATTTTTCGACCAGCGATAACCAAGCCCTAGCTAACTAGCGACTACAAGGCAGTGATGTAGCTAGTTAGCTTGGTTATCGCTGATATATAATACGAATCTGCGATTTATCAGCAATTATTGTTCTAATTTCGCTATCGCTAGCCTTCTGCAAGATATGTAATACGCCTACGGAGCTATACCTCAGTACTAGTGAACTTTTCGATTTAGGCTTCGATGTTTTTAGCTTGTGGCATGACATAAGCGCCGTCACACGTTAAACTTGGCAGAGCCACGCTCAGCACTGTTATGGTTGTAGCACGAATGGGTCGGCTCGACCGGGGAAGGACCACGCTCACACAGAATACCAGCGTAAAATAACAGCTTAATACTGCTGTGTTTCGTGTGGTGAGTGTAGAGAACTGGAGACAAATTTTACTGGAGACGTGGCATTCCATCTTAGTCCTCAGGGATGAGAATTGCATCTGCATTTTGATTATTAATGAAACCACTTACCATCAGGTATCAGGTACCCTTAATCTATTTAATGAAAATATATTTTGTAAGTAGATAAGGTAGACAAACAAGCACACTGTCCACCTTATTGTGTGTAAGTAAATGCCGTAGCCCATGGACATTTATCATCGCCTGAGAAAGAAAATGCGGTGTCACTCTGAGTACTAACACGGAATGCCTCGTCACCAGTAAAAACAGTCTTCAGTTCTCGCTACTTACCTTATAAAACAAAGCAGCATTATGTTGGTATTTTACGATGGTATTCTCTGCGAGCTTAGTCCTTTACCGGCCGAGCCACCAACTCTTGTTGCAGCGTGTCTCTTCCACGTAAACATGAGTGTAAGGACCATTTTATATAAAATAAGATAATAGGTTTACTTTATTAACATTGTCTCCCGATACTACCCAATTATATATTTTTTTTTATAGGAGCGGGGGCAACCGAGCATGCGGCTCACCTGATGGTAAGTGACTACCGCCGCCCATGAACAACTGCAACACCAGGGAGGGAATTGCAGATGCGTTGCCGGCCTTTTAAAAAGGAGTACGCTCTTTTCTTGAAGGTCCCTAAGTCGTATCGGTCCGGAAAAATCGCTGATGGTAATCGATTCCACAAGGAGGTCTTGCGAGGAAGAAAACATCTTCTAAATCGCACAGTGGTGGACCGCCAATCATCCAGATGGTGTGGATGTTTTGTGGATGTCTGGATGATTATGACTATGCTACGACCATTTTTCTTAATCTCCTGTTGAGTATATGTTAAGCTTGTGGATATACATTATTATTACTGCAAACGCCTGATAATAAATAATATCAATAAATTATCTTTGAATAATGAACTGCAATATTGCTTTAAAAATTACCAGGCGTTTGTAATGTTTTATGACAATGATTCACTTATTATAAGTTTTTTTTTATTAACAACAAATAATATGAACTCATTATTAGATTATTACCTGAAACTGAAGTCTTTTTAAACATAGTAGCTACTTATAATTTTGATTTCATGAACTAGAATATTGCTTTAAAAAATGCTAGGCGTTTTTATTGTTTTATGAATTTGAATTCTGAATTAAGAAGTCTGTTTATTATCATTAATAATTTTATAATAGTAACAAATAATTTAAACTCATTGACATTGATTGTTTTTAAGTTTGATATCAAACCGACTTAATAAATTAGTGTCATATACCTGCCTATATTTTGCCATATATGTGTACATGTTACACTAAATCATATGCTTATGCAATTATAACATCCCATACACACTTTGTATATTATTTTGTTATATAGGCACATAAAGTCAATATTCCATTATTACACGTGGTAGAGCTATGCTGCAGCTATATTAGTAGTATAGTTGTAACCTAACGCTGCTGTGTTTCGTATGGTGAGTGTGGAGAACCGGACACCCTGTTTACTGGAAAAGAGGCATTCCGTCTTAATCCTCACGGTTGACAACGCATCTGCATTTTGATTCGCAAACGAGGATAGATGTAGATGTCTATGGGCCACAGATTTTCATTATTCTGAGTCGTTGAGTTTTGGCGGGAACTTGACCGGCGGCGGTTTGCTGTTCCTGTTTTATTGTTTAAATAATGGTTTGTAGTAGACTTTGATATGTAAAAGTGGTGCGATTTTGCGTATTAAGTGTCTGCGCATGTGAACTATTAGTGGAAACTGTGAAACAAGTGCTCTGATAGTGATGTGATTCTCAAAATAAGGTGCCTGTCTGCTTAGGCGCCTTGAGATATCATCGCCAACCGTCAGCTGTCTGCTGGCTCAAGTTACCGTTAAAATCTCCCAAGGGCTGCACAATGTGACGCATCAACATATTGTGAAGTAGTATACTATGAAGAATAGTTATAATTATTATAATATAATATTGTAACTTCAGGCTCAGAAGGGCTAGATCCCAGAGCCGTAAAGCCAGTTATTAAGAAGAAGAAGTCTGAGTCGTTAAAAGAAAGATGCTGTCTATATCCTGTTTAACTTTCCCTCTGTCGCCTTATAGGATACCCTCGAGTCGATGTGGACTAGTGGATATTCTTACATCACACTAAACGGTTAAAAGTCAAAATTAAACGCGATAAAAATTAATTTTAAATAATGAACAGCAACTTATTTCATTGTACTATTTAATTAACATAGTATAATATATTATAATGATTTCGTTCAGCTTTTGATTAAGCTATTAAATAGACTGCCTCATTGCCTATTACCAATACCGCAACGGTTCACGCGAAGCGAAATTTCGCAACACAAATCGAAAATTACGTAATTCACTAATTTTCGCGCCATTTGCCTATAATACACCGCAATTAACCTGATTTTATTTTATTGTTAATATTGCCAGTCATAAAAACAAATTGTTTGCCAGCGCCCGTTTAGCAACCCGTTGGCCTATTTCCAACAAATTTTAACATTGTGAACACCATTCGTTTCAACCTCAACGTCAAGTTTATGTACATTTTCAGACTCAATACAGTGCTGTAATCTTTTCGGCAGTTTTCGTGAACGCCTCGTTTCATTTTAAACAATTTGTAAGCCCCTTTTCGATCTGTTAACACTTTAGGAAATATTTGTATATTGTTGTTTCACCTTTTTTATATAGGATAAGGGTGACAAACCATGGTCCACCTGATGCTAAGTGGTTGCTGTGTCACATAGTAATCTACATCTATCCTCAATTACGAATCAAAATGCAGATGCTTTGTCACCCGTAATGACTAAGATGGAATGCCTCGTTTCGAATAAATAGGGTCTCCGTTTTTCTACACTCACCACACGAAACACAGTTTAAGCTGGTATTCCTTTTGAAGAGCAAAGAGTGGAAAAGTCATCAAAGAGAATTCATACTGAGAATCAAATATATATTTTTAATAGTCCCCCTAATGATAAGTGTCAACTGCACCTAATAGACACCTGTAGCTATCTTCAAACAATAAAATATACAGATGCGTTGTCACCTTTAAGAATTAAGCTAAATGACTCACAACCTGTATTTAAAGTGACTTTATTTACCCTTTAGAACAGTATACATTAGTTCAGTCAGTGCTCCTTGGTAGCTGAAATAGATAAGAGGGCGGTAGCTATCCAGACGGGCTCCAAAGCAGAAAAGAAGTTCAAACACTAAGTAGACTATGAATAAATAATTTTGTCTCTGTTCTACCGACTTCAAAAAGAACGGTACTCAATTCGACTGTATGTTTTTTTTAATGTGTGTTACCTCATAACTTTTTACTGGTTGAACCGATTTCAATGATTCTTTTTTTATTTGAAAGCTGGTACTTCTCGTGTATTCCCATATGAATTTGATCAAGGTCGGACCTATTATTTTTTGAGTTATTCTTAATAATTTATATTGAAGTCGGTTGTACAAAATTTTTAATTTTATATTATCTATTCTTCTGTTCGTTCTTAGAAATCAACAATATGATGCTTATTGAATGTTTTTATATTCCTGTTTTACTCTTTCGTATCAAATTCAGCATAATACGAAATACATGAAATCATTCCTGTGACTTTCAAAATAATGTTTACCGTACAAGAGCATTCCTTTTTTTAGAACAAGTGTGACAAACGAGTATAGAGTCCACCTGTTGGTAAGTGGATGCAGTGGCCCCCAGGCATTTAAGTATGAATGAATGAATGAATGAATGAATTTAGGGTTTTAATTATGTTGCGTGCAACCCTAATGATTTTACTAAAATATAAGTAACTTAAATTACTCATTATAACATCAGCTAACTGACAGTGAAAGTCCCATCGAAATCGGTCCAGACGTTACGGATTAGCCGGAACAAACAGACAGACAGACAGACAAAAATTTTAAAAATTGTGTTTTTGTTATAAGTACCAATATCTTCATATGCATTTAGTAAAAAGCTGTTATTTTGACATTACAAACAGACACTTTAATTTTATTTATTTGTATGGGTTAAACTTAAAAACTTAAAACAATACTCATTGATCGCGAGCTGTGATGATCCTTTTTTGTTTTGATTGTCATCGCATACATGTCATGCATGTCATGATGGATGGGTTTCGTACTCTGGTTTTGTACTCGGGTATCATACAAGATACATCGACAGTCAACTTCGTACCGTTGACGGGACTGTAGAAACGCCCAACTTTTGACGAAATTAAAGGCTTTATCATAGGCCACATATGCAAAGACAAAGTCGTAGATTGTTCTTCGGTATTCTGTACAATTTGCCGAAGGGCATGTATGTGGTCTTTGGTGCTAAAGCCCTTTCGGAAACCGGCTTCTTCGGGAGGCTGGAAGTCGTCGAGTGTGCGTGCGAGATGATTCGTTATTACTCTTGAAAACAGTACATAGACACGGCTCAGAAGGGAAATCGGTCTATAGTTCTTCAAGAGAGCGTTATCGCCTTTCTTGAAAAACAGGAATACTTCACTTCTGCTCCACGTCTCCGGAGTCGTCCCACCATGGAGAATGGAATGGATGACGTGTACAGCTGCTCATAGAACACCTCAATTTCACTCAAAATTTCAGGTTTTCCGGAAACGATGCTACTACTTTCGGTACTTAGCTTCGACAGTTGGCTCTCTCTAGCAGACAAATCTTTGGCAAAGACTTTAGAGCCCTGTTTCTGCTCGATCGCTTCTAAATACGAACTGTATTGAAGTTGCGTAAATCACGCCGCATGCATTTGGAGATCTGTCTGTTCACTTGGCTCTATTTTGTCATATCTGCTGAAGACTGCAGCTTCATTTCTCATCTAATAGCCCTTATTAGGAGTGTGATCGGAGATTTTTTTACGTTCTTCTGTGACGGGTTTTGCAGAACTTAGCTCCAACCACATGGACCTTTTTCAACGACCTTTCATTCATATCGTCCGCTGCATTTTGTTTCGTTTTCAGTGCCTAGAAGCAGTCTTCTAGGTTTTGTAACCCGAGCTGAAATTTATCGGGACTTTGGATAAGAGCACGAAGGGAAAGAAGCGTTAACTTCATTAGTCGTGACTTTTCCAACTTAGGTTCAGTGTGCCTCTCACCATTCGGTGATCGCTGTCAGTTTTCACCCTCATGTTCACTGAGACTTCATTGAACAATTGCCGTCTAGTCGTCATAATAAAGTAAATCTCATTTTTTTCGAACCGTCAGGGCTCGACCAGGTCCACATTCTGCGGGGGCTTCTAGAAGAAAGAGTTCATCATAAAGAGTCCCTCTTTTCTCCATGAAGTCAGCAAGCTGCTGGCCTTTTGGGTTCAGTTGCCCTATTCCGAATTTCGCTCCTTCCAGCTCACCGTTTTCTCTTGTGCCTAGATATGCGTTGAAGACTTCCATTAACACTGTATTTAGTATTTAGAGGAACGTATAGCTCGAGAGATATCCTCATACATTTCCTTCACCTCCACATCCAGGTGTGCTGAGGTTGGTGTGTAAACATGTAGGACTTACAAAGAATACCGTTTGGTGATTCTGAGTATAATGTACGCAACCCTCGTCGACACTCTCCCAATCTTTCAACGTTGTTAACAAGAGACTTGCGGAAGATAAATCCGAAGCCTTCTTGGGACAGATGGTCGCCTCCCGGTGACAGAACAAGTTGCCAGATTCTAGGATTACGGTGTCCTCCCGCTCTTTTTAGACCTTAGATAATCGTATAATGATCCCAGTGCAACTTGTCTATCTCTTCCTCCAGCTCCAGGATCTCCTCGTCAGTCCTCAGGGTGCGTGCCTTATATGTTACCAGGTCGAGTCGTTTTAGGTGGCAACCGAACCTCCACCGGAGATTCTTAGCACCCAATGCCCCGACGTTACGATGGTCACCACCGTAACCAGGAATAACGGGGTCGCCGGGGACTGGGGGCCGTTTATTTGTGTCGTTGCTCATGGGAGGATGTTTGCCATAGTTGCCACGCTTTGGGAGCGATTTGGCAACGGCGGTTTTTTATTGTACCATTGTAATTATCAGAAGATGCTGCTGTCCATCTTCAGCCTCAGTTTCCCTCTATTGCCTCTTATGACACCCACGGGAAATATGGGGTAGTGGAGATTCATGCACCGATACTACATGGCACCTCATACCTCAAAACTTGAAAACCAGATTGTACAACCAGTGCGTGTTGCCAGTGATGACTTATGACACGTGGACGTATGATCTGAGACGTGGTCTTTCACAGCTGGCCGTATGCTCAAGGTCACTCAGCGAGCTACGGAGAGGGGTATGCTCGGGGTTTCTCTGCGTGATAAACTTAGAAATGAGGATATCTGAGGTAGAACAAGAGTAGACCTGCATAGCCCAACGGATTAGTAAGCTGAAGTGCCAATGGGCTGGCCATATAGCTAACAACCGATGGGGAAGAAAGGTTCTCGAGTGGCAGTCTCTTACAGGCAGGCAAAGTGTAGGGCGGTCCCCCACTAGATGGAGTGATGGCCTAGTAAGACATGCATGAAGTCGATGGATGCAGGTGGCTCAGGAGCGTGCTTTGTGGCATTCATTGGGAAGGCCTATGTTCAGCAATGGACTTGTGAAGGGCTGTAATGATGATGATGATGATGATGATGAAGTCACCTGACTATCTAATACAACTCCAAAAAATATTTTATTTATGAAAATAATTATCAAAATAATGATAAGTAGTAAAAGGAATAAAAAAAAAATAATAAAGCAGTTTTATTTATCCAAGATACAATACATAATATAAATAAAAATGTGTGATCGGAGGTAAAAGGTTTATTCCAAAGTAATTCAGGAAAGAAGTTACATTTTTAGTAGTCTTTAGAGCGCGCTCCAATTTCTGTTTATAAGAAAGTTTCAAATATTTATTATTTTTAATTTAGTTACATTTTTAATGTAAGAACTACAAAACTATAGTAAAAGATGATACTATAGGTGGCGAGATTTAGCTTTAGAATGTATGAAATTTCATTTCTGATTTATTGTGACATTCTAAGAATTGCCCTCACTTTGAACATCTGAAACAGAAAGTATTATATACATGAAGGCATGTCTATTCCCGTACACCGAACTAAAATTCTAATTTCTGAGCGGGTAGGCCGGTAAGGCAAGAAATTATTCAATGTGCTGCGCCTGTTGTCTTCATTTTTTTCAGAAATGCTGATTTCCTCAAGATGTTTTCCTACACCACGTGAATTAGCCTTTTAAATTATAATGAATAATTTCAAGAATGCCAGCGGGGATCGAACCCGGGTAGCTCGTGTACTGTGAAATTTACGACGAGCATATTGCATCTGAGCTACTACGAGTAATTAAGAATCAAAATGCAGATAAGTTGTCACCCCTCTGGACTAAGGTGAGTTCCTCGTTTCCAGTAAAAAGGTTATCAACACTCACCATACAAAACACAGCAGCATAAGCTGCTATTTTACGCTGGTATTCTGTGAGAGCGTGCTCTTTCCCGGAGTAGATCCATTCGTGCTACAACCGCAACAGCAACAGCATGACTCCATCACTTCGTCGGAACTGTTTGTACAGTGGTCGACTCTGTCTCAGGTGGTGTCCGCCCTCACAAAGAACTCACGCTGTTTACACCGGCAAACTTTGCGATAATGTAATTTTTGTTCAGGGTTGTACATACCAGGACAGAGTGCATCGGTGTCTTCGTCGGAGCCGTCCGCGCAGTGGTCGACTCCGTCGCAGGTAAGGTCCGCGCTCACGCAGAACTCCCGCTGCTTACACCGAAATTCTTTGCAGCCGTGCTCTGCGAAAACATAAAACGAAGAAACAGAAACAGAAACTTTATTCTTTTCAATATAAATTATAAATAAGACTTATTCAAAGTCACTCTTCTGTTTTGTTTACCACTGGTTCGAAACAAAAACTCTGTCCTGGGAAGAACCAGCAAGAAACCCAGCGGGACTTTTTTTAAAAATAACAGCTTACAATGTATGTTTAATTAACCACTGTACTTTATTTGTTTTTTATTGTGTGTGTACTTTAATTAACTTGTAATTAACCACACCATAACAAATTTGAAATGGCTTGATAGCGATCACCCAATTCCCAGGGGTTACCATCCATAAATTCTTTAATATTATAATAACCCTTTTTATACAAACTGAGTTTCATAAAGTTTTTGAACTTTTGTATATTTTCTGGAATTTTGTTGTAAAAGCGTATACATCGCTCCAAGAAGGAATTACTGACTCGATGGAGTCGAGTAACTGGTACTACTACTAGCTTCTGTCTGTACCTAGTATTTACACAATGAATATCATTTATTTTTTAAAACTACTTTTATTTTTGTACGTACATTACATTTTCATAAATGTATTGAGAGGCCAAAGTTAATATATTAATTTCCTTAAATTTTTGTCGCAGCGACTCTTTAGGCTTTAAATCATAAATTGCTCTTATGGCCCTCTTCTGTATAACAAATATAATTTCAGTGGCAGCCGCGTGTCCCCATATCAAAATGCTATACGACATTATGCTATGGAAAATAGCTAAAGTAAACAGTGGTAAGATTTCTAATCTTTTTACAGTATTTGCTACAGAACTAAGTCTGCTTGCTAGTTTTGATGTATGGGGTCTGCATTGAAGCTTCGCGTCTAGTGTGATTCCAAGAAAAATGGTGGTATCGACAAGACTCAGTTCCTCCCCATTTAAAATTACATCCGCGGCTGGTCGTTGCTGCTGGTGATAAGAGGGCTGGTTCTTTCCTCGCTCAAAGGCTAAGTATAGCCATTCAGCGGGGAAACACAGCCAGCGTTCTTGGCACGATACCGCGGGGAGTAGGACTATATGATAATTAAGTTTCTAGTTTTAGTTTTTTTTTTTATTATCATTAGTATTTAATTGTTTAATTTATGAAGTTTTTCAATTTCATGCACTAAACTATTTTCTTAAATCTTTTTACCGTTTTCTTAATAATTATTTTTCGATAGTCCTTGTAAGTAAAATGTACATCAATAGCTAACGCACACAATGACAAATCAAAATGAATCACGCGTTTTCGGGCTGTCTGGTCGTCTATACGCACAATACATAATAACTTTATTTTTTTAATATTTAAATTACTTTTTTAGTTTATATTTTTTGTCATGGCACTGTTATAGAGTGTGAGTGAAAACAATGAGTTGTTACTATTTACATTATTATTTACACATTTTGTCAATCTGATCCTCATATTCCTTGCTGCATTGGGCAAACTCATCGACTGTTCTCTGAAGTTGATCCCTTTCTTTTAAGACAAATCCATATTCTTTATGCAACTTAACCATAGCAATTATAATTATTATTTCCTTTTCATTGTCACCCCTTTCTTTACACAACAGCTCACACTGCTCCTTTGACGCGTTAAGTTCTTGAAGCGCCATTTGAAATTGGTTCTCCAATTGGCGCGTTTTGACGATGCGTGTATTAATTTTACTAATGAGTGTAAATAGCAAAATAAAACAAAGAAAGAAAACCGAAGAAGCAGAGTAAGCAAATGTCCATGGGTTTATTTACAGATCTCAAATTAAATTATCATGTAGATAATTCAAAATGAAATCCAGAACAATATTTACTTAAAAGGTAAATCTTAAAATGTTAAAGGGAGTATTTTATAATATGACTTTTATGATCGGAATACAGAGGGACGCGAGTTCGAATCCCGCACGGATCAAGTATTTGTATGGCCTACATATTATTGTTCCGGGTCTGGATGTTTGTCATTATGAAGTTTATGTATGTAAACTGTTTGTCCTAGTGTGGAGGTAACGTATTTTCAAGAATAAGTAAAGAATGATACAAAATTAGTTGTGGTGCGTGGCAGGTGGTTGATCATAATATTTATGATGATAATGATCTTATTATAATGGCCTTTTAAGTTGACTCAAAAAAGTAGACTGAAAACAATTCGACTGTATATTTTATGTATGATATGCAGTATCTTCTATTTTATTAAACAGGCCTTATAACTCAAGGGGGCGGCAAGGGGGCAAATTTTAATGTTAAGAAAGCGTTTCACCCCTAAGGGTGGAAAATAGGGGATCGAGTTGTTAATGTAACTAATTAGATGACATTCTATTTGTTACCTCTAGCTTGTGATATTACTTAGTCCACTGAAAAGGCTCAAATAATTAAATTTAAAAAACAAAGTAAAAACAGACTTCATAAAACTAAAATAAATAAAATAACTAAATTATGTGGACAATTTACTTATTTTTGAAGTCGAGGTTTTAATTCATCTACAACGACTTCAGACGATATTAAATTATGAGAATATTGAAATTATTTTGTTTTATTTAGTTTTATGAAGCCGGCTTTTATCTTTTCTTAATTTTATTTATTAATAAATTTTAGGCATAATTTTCTATTTTTTTTCAGCCTATGAACAGACCACTACTATATACACCATTGCCAGCCTAACAAAAGCCACTTCTGGCCACCCACAAAGATTTCTATACCTAATCAAAGTCGTCTAACATTTGTTATTGTTAGATTTTTCTCTATGTGATGGTGACGTAATTAAAAATTAAAAATTTTGTACAGCCGACTTCAATATAAGTTATTTAAGAATAACTCAATAACCATTGGTCTAACCTTGATCAAATTCATATGGGACTACACGAGAACTATCAGCTTTCATATAAAAAATAATCATCGAAATCGGTTCCCCCAGTACAAAGTTATGAGGTAACACACATTTAAAAAAAACATACACTCGAATTGAGTACCGTCTCCTTTTTGAAAGTCGGCAGAAAATAAAGTCCATCGCTCTATGACCGTCAAAGGATAAGAGTAGGTTTTTCTTAGAAACGACTAAAGCTTCGTAATTTTGTTGTATGCATGCAAGCTTGTTTGTAGCGTGATTTGTGACTTATTAAGTGATTGGTAGGTTGTATCATTGTGACCACTGTACCACAGTGAAACAACCACAACCACCACAACCCAATAGATATCTTAAGAGGCAACTTAGGGAAATACCGGAAGATTAAATTATGTAGTAGAGACACGCTGCAGCCGTATTTATAGGACAGGGATAAGACCACGCTCTCACAGAATATTAGCGTAAAATAACAGCTTATTTTCATCCTCACATGTAACATTTCATCTATATTTTGATTCTTAATCGAGGTTAAATATAGATTTTTTTTATAGGATAAGGGTGAAAAACGAGCACACAGTCCACCTGATGGTAATTGGTTGCTGCGGCCCATAGACATCTACATCTTTCCTCTATTACAAATCAAATTGTAGATGCGTTGTCACCCGTGAGGATTAAGATGGAATGCCTCATTTCCAGTAAAAAGGGCCTCCGGCCACCTGCACTCACCGAGCGAAACGCAGAGGTAAACCTCTACTTCACGCTGGTATTCTGTGAGGACGTGGTACCACCCCGGTTCGTGCCGGCCCATCCGTGCGACAGCAAAAGCTGCCGCGTGGCTCTACCACTGTTATTGATGTCTATGGCCTACAACATCCACTTACAGGATAGATACTTACTTTACCTTACTAGTACCAGGCAGTATCAGGTGGACCGTATGCTTATTTGTTACCCTTATTCTATAGAAAAAGAGATCTGACCTCCAATGGAAGGCGATATAACCATATCAGATATAAACTACCCAGACCGACGTTGGGAAGTAGCGTTAAACAATCAGGACGTATGTTGTTGATTATGGTAAATTCTCCCATTTTTGGGAGAGTACTATTTCCAGCATTGGACTACTGAAAAGGAGGATAAAGAAAAAGATTTTAAACCACAGTGACCATTTTACCCTATAATAATGGTGGCAATAATGCATTGCTCTATTTAAAATTAATTACGAATTACTTCAGAAGCAAGTGGTATAATCTGCGATGCACATTATATATTTCTTTATATAATAAGAGCGAAAAATGAGCACACGGTCCATTTTATGCTAAGTGAATGTTGCGGTCCAAAGACAACTGCATTTATCCTCGGTTAAGAATCAAAACGCAGATGCGTTGTCACCCTGAGGACTAAAATAGAACGTCTCATACGAACGTTTTCAGTAAAAAGGGTCTCCGGTTCTCTACACTCACCATATAGCGCCATTAAGCTGCTATTCTAAGCTAGTATTCTGTAAGGGCGTGGGCCTTCCCCGGCCGAACCGACTCATTCGTACTGCAATCATAATATAGCTGCAGTATGGCTCCACTACGTAACTTTTATAAACGTATACAAATAAAAGTGATCTTATAGCATAAGGGGTTACGCAATTTCACTGACTATCCAATTTACTAATAGAGACACTATCTATAACGAAGTCTTCCATCAACGTCGACCCTTTTTCCACATCAGACAACAGATATCAAAAACCCTTTTTTCCTTATTTTTTTATCAAAACCAACATCAACTCCTTTAAACGATCGATACATCGATTAATACATTTGTTTTAATGCACTATTCTATTTACCTATCTATCAATTTATCTGTTCATCTATCCAGAAACAGAAACAGAAAACATTTTATTCAATATAGATTATAAATAATACTTATTGAAAGTCACTCTTTTGTTTAAATACTACTGGTTCGAAAAAAAACCTCTGTCCTGGGAAGAACCAGCAAGAAACCCAGCGGGACTTTTTTTAAAAATAACAGCTTACAATCATGTATGTGACACAAATTAACAACACAACAAATTAGAAATAGCTTGGTAGGGATCACGTCATTTCCAGGGGTTATTATCATCCATAAATTATTTAATATTATAATAACCCTTTTTATAGAAGCTTAGTTTAATAAAG